GGCCCCGACCCCGACCCCCGGCACGTTTTCCTCCGGCCGGGGAAGGCTGGGCTGGGCAGCGCCAGCCGCCGAGGCGATGACTGGCCGGGTGCGGCGACGGGAGGTGCCGTCCGGTGCCTGGGGCGGGGAGCGATCCCCAGGCGAGGCTGGGGGGGCAGGGAGCTGTCACTCCCTCCTTGGTGCAGCCACCTCAGGTTTGGGTGGAAATGCTCTTCAGAGTTTTCTCTGAGAAGTAAAACCGTTCCGGGGGTCATGTGGGCAAAACCGACTTCTGTGACCAGAACCGCTTCTCCCCCAGGTACTATGTGCAAGGAGTGTGTCGGGAGGGAAGTAAGTGTCTGTTCTCCCATGACTTATCCACGAGCAAATCCTCCACCATCTGCAGGTATTACCAGAAGGGACACTGTGCCTACGGAGCTCGGTGCAGGTAAAAACCTGACGCTGTCTGGAATAGCGAGTTCAGGAGAACTAGGCATAATGATCATGTGCAGTCAGCTTTAAACTCTGGGGAAATCAAAGATCAAGGAAATATAAAATGAGAATGAACTAAAATATTGAATATGAGCGTTTTCTCTCAGTGTCAAAACCAGCTTATGGATCCGGTATTGTAGTTTTATCCTGCCTTGGCTTCAGCAATTCTTTTAGTCTGTAGAAATGAAACTTTAGGTTTCACATGTGTTTTTCATCCAGCTCTTACTGCAGTAAGAGCTATTAAATGCAAAAAATACCAGCAATAGCATTTGGCAGCATGGTTTGCTTTCCACGTGGCTGCAGTGGCTGGATGCAGACAGTGCTCCAGTAGCGCTTCACTTGGGTCTCCTGGTCTAGCTTGTAGCCGCCTCCATGCTGACGCCAGTGCACAATTTCAAGGACTTTCCATTCTGTCTTACCCTTTGGTTTGGTGGACAGCTGAACAGTACCACACCTTTTCCTGAAGTCTTCTGGTTCAGTCCTTGAGAAATACTACATGTTAGTTAATGTTACAGTCTGTCGGGGATGTGCCACGGGGCAGCCCGTGGGTCCTTTGTGGAAAAACTCTGGTCACGGATGCGAAGCCTGTGTTTGTACCTTCACCTGACCACAGTTATATTTCCTTCCCCTTGCTTGGTTCATGGTACCAAACCTGGGTCAGGAGATGGAATGTTAGCGATTTCTGCAGCTTCCCTGAGCTGCTCACGCTGAATTAGTAACGTACGGTGTTATCCATGGGGACCACGTCACCCGCTGACCGGACTGTAACAGTGGCTGCAGAGGGTGTTGCTGTTTTTCTCCAGTTGTTTTTCTGGAATTTGGGGTGCTCGAGGCACATAAGCGATTGACGTGCGTGGCGTGTCTGTGGGCGCAAATGGGTCCAAAGTACAGAATCAGAAGGAGATACGGAGAATGATCTTGTTCCCATCAAAAATACTCTAGCTTCTGTAGCATCTAGCTTCTAGCATCTCACAATGGGATGGGGAGTCGTGAGGTAGTTCCTTGATGGGCCATTAGCAGGAGATAGTCCAGGAGCGGGTTATCTATGGGTCATGCGGATAAGTCATTGTTGTGCCCATTAACAGAAGATAGTCCAGAGGGAGGAGGCAGGGAGCACCGCCCCACCTGGTCTCAACAGCTCCTGAAGATGGTAATAGAATACTTTTTTTTTTTTTTTTGGGGCACATTTTACACTGTAACCTAGGACACACGGGGAAACCAAGATCATGAAATCTCGCTCCTTCCTGCTTGGCGTTTTGATGTTGCTTCTCTGAGAAATGCCAGCAAACATGTTTGTGTGAGGGGATGACGAAGATCTAATTTAATGTGCACATGAATAATGTTCTTTTAGCCATGCTGGGTGTATCTGGAGAAGAAAATAGAGGTGTGCTGTCAGAGGCATCCATTTTTTGAGACTTGAGAAACCTTTTAGTCTGGCTTTGAAAGAGACTGAGTGGTTCAGTCAGCTTGTCAGAACAATCCTTTAAAAAAAAAAAAACCCAACAACTGTCTGTTCAGCTTTATTTTGTTTTGGTATTCGTCAGGGCAGCGTCCTGCCTCTGTGCCAAGCTGAACCTTTGTAACCCTTGTTCCATCCTTCTCCTTTGGTAGGTATGACCACACCAGACTCCCTGCGCTGGGGGGGGCGGCAGCCCCTGCGCCACCTCCCCACTCCTCAGTGGCACCGCACAACCCTCACCATCCCTCCAAGCATGGCGCGCCGGTGATCTGGAGCAAACCGCATGAGACTGGCAAGCGGGAGAAGAAGACGCTTGTGCTCAGGGACAGAAGTGAGTGGGAGTGCTCGGCCTCCACAGTGCTTGGTAGGGGTTAGGTAGTTTTTCTCTCTTTATTACTCGAGTTCCCTGGGCAGCTGGAGAGGTGCAGTCAGACTTCCCACCCTAGGAGGCCTCTTTCCTGGCAACGACCGTGTCTGCCTGGCTGGCATTTAGCCTGGTGTTCCTTGAAGGATGGGTCTTGTTTGGGGGATGTTTTTTTTTGTTTTGATTTGGGTTTTTGGGTTAAAATATCTCTACCCCTCAGATCTTTTTGTGCATTTTGTTCTCAGCACGAGGGCATTCAAAATGGAGAGAAACCTAGCTGCTTTGTGCCAAGGTAACCTGGCATGTGCTTTGTGGAGGACCGTGCCAGCCCTTGGGAACATGAGCGTGGAGACATCCACCCATGCCTGACAGGCAAGGCAGAGGAGCCCAGCCCCCTGGCTCCTGCCCTCCCTGTCACACTGAATGGGCCAGTTCCCCTAGTGTGAAATGTTGGGATTTTTTAGCCTATTTATGAACAGAAAAGAGCTGAAGAAATCTTAGAATCAAATTTTTCAGTAGGTAGTTTGGGAAGATTCTTGTGATTTTTGAGCAAAAGGGGCTTAGAGATGAGATTTCATTGAGAAGAAACCTTTTTTTAAAAAAAAACCCACCCTGGTAGTCATTGGAAAGAAAGTATATGGAGCGTCTTGCATGGTTCATAGTACGTTTCTGTTTCCTAAGATCTGTGTGGCTTGAATGAAGACAAGCAGAAACCCAATGCCACAAGCAACATGGTGTGTTGCAGTGACCAAAATGACAGCTTGGAAGTGAAGCCCCACTCGTATTTGGAAGCTATTTGCAGCGGGCTGGAGGATCCGGTAGCTGGTGGCTCCTGTGCCAACGGGGAGCAGCTGTGTCCTTACGCCGTGGCAGGAGCGTGCCACTTTGGGGAGCGCTGCCTTTACCTCCATGGAGATGTGTGTGAGATCTGTGGGTTGCAAGTGCTTCACCCTTTCGACCCACAGCAGAGGAAGGCTCATGAGATGGTAATATTAACGTGAGAGATTGGGTTGGTTTGCTCTAAAATCCAAAGGTGTGTTTTGTAGAAGAGCCTGTTGTTCCAAAGAGGTTTTGTTTTAGTGTTTATCGTCTAGCCACAAAATGATTCTGAGAGTGGTCTGTTTAAGCATCTGGGGCTTAATTGGTAATCATGACGCAGAGAGACCTTTACAGCAACTTCTTTTTTTCCCCATTTCACCCTTATCGGAGACTTGCCTGCAGTCTGCTCCCAGAACACCCTGAAACTCTGCCAGGAAAATGCCCTTTGTAGCTTACATGACGTCTCGGTGTACGTTATGTGCAGCGGGGGAGATGAATTGTGGGCTGCTGGTGCGTTCTGAGTGATGGCTCTGCCGAGTCACCGCTTCGGGTGTGTCCTCTGGGCCGTGGCTGATTTCAGGGCAGGGTCAAGCAGGGACAGACTGAGTGGAACACAGAGGTTTTGGAGCTGAACTTGAAGTAGGACTGGAGGGACCGGATGAGGAACTGGTTGGGTAAAGATGGGCTTAAGGGGCTGCTCTGTTCTTTGCCTGGCTACCAGATTTGGGTCAGGGCTGGTCAGGAACAGGGGTTCTCAAGGCTGAGGAGGAGCAAGGCCAGCAGCATCAGTGGTTACTGAACCATAAGTCTCTCTGGTGTCTGGAGTAGAATCCAAGGAGTTTGAACCCTCAGGTTTTGTGCAGTCATCAGGTACTTGCAAAACGTGCTGGTGTAGGAGTTTTTGTCTCTCCTAGGAGCTGCTTGTTACCTGGCATGGTATCCAATCACCACTGCGGCTGGGTGCTCAGCTCCGGAGGCAGAAGGGTGTGTGGGGGAGAAGGGGCTCTAGTCAAAATGGTGCTACTAACATGGAGTTATTTTGTGTCCTTTTTTTTATTATTATTATTCTAATCAAAGTCTTTTAAATTTACTTTACATGTCAAGTCCTGAGACCTTTGAAAAGTAAAGAGGTAGAATTCCACTGGTATAACCACCAGCTCCTCTTGCAGGGCTGTGAGAGTGTGAATTGGTTATTGATTGTCACTGCTGGGGTGCTGTGATGAGGGTTTGAGAGTGGCACCCTTTCTGGACCCTGAACTGGGTGGGTCTTAGGGGTGTTTGAAGCATCTCCTTGTGCAATACCTGTTCAGTGACAGAGATACGGAAATGTGTAGATTAGGAGCATCTGGGCAGCCGTACTTCTGGTACTCTGAAGCTGCAGAGAACGCTGAAGGGCTGAAATATGCGATTAAATTTAATGCTCTTAAAATGAAATGATGACAGTGAAGGGATGCTGCTCTTAATTGGGGTACCTCGTTTTTCCTGTAGTGGGTTCCTTTCATAGGCACTTTGGTTTTACAAGGAACCGGCTGGTACATGGGCTGCAATAACCAGTGCCATCTCTCCCGTGACAGATGTGCATGGCAACGTTCGAGCATGACATGGAGAAGGCCTTTGCCTTTCAGGCAAGTCAGGACAAAGTGTGCAGCATCTGCATGGAAGTGGTGTACGAGAAACCGTCGGCCTCGGATAGGAGGTTTGGGATCCTTTCCAACTGCAATCACACGTACTGCTTGTCTTGCATCCGGCAGTGGAGGTGTGCCAAGCAGTTCGAGAATCCCATCATCAAGTAAGTTGGTGTTAACCAGAGGCTCTTCTCTGTGGCCTGTGTCAGCGAGACGGGCTCCCCGGTGTGCTGTGACTTGATACGGAAATAAAGCTGGTGATGAGGGATGCCGTGGCTGTAGATATGAACACACCTGTTAATAGATCTGAGATTAGAAAACCCTGGTCCAAGTGCTGGCAAGTTCCTGAATGTTGGAGCGTGGCTATGAGAACTCCCTTCAGGAACAGCAGTGTGCCTCGGTGGTCCTTTGGTAGCAGTGTACTGCGTGGCCCTGTGTGACCTCAGCCCTCTCTCGTCACGTTGACGGTGGGGCACAGTGCGCACGCGGGGACTCTGCAACAGCAGAGACCTTGCTAACCTGTGCCCCTCATGGTACCCTCTGTGCAAAACCAGTGACTCCTTTTCTTCTGTATATGTGCTTAATTAGTGTTTTTTTTTCTCTAAATTAGAGTTTACTCAAGCTAAATGTCCCACTAATCACACATTTATCTGTATCTGAGTAAATGCCTTCATGTTCTAGCTCTATTAAAAATGCATTCCAAACATGCTCCTCCTCAGATGAGAGAATTTAAAACATCCAATTAGGACAATTTCCTTGTTTGAGCATCTCTGAAAACTCTCCCAAGTTACAAGCATGCTGAGGGAAGTATTTTCAGTCCTCTGCCAAAATAGATGTTTCTGCACAACTTTCATTATAAATTTAATTGAAGTGAGTGTTGGCTCATTAGGCTGTAACCTGTATTGGAGTTGAGCTCATGTTGGACAGACACTGAGACACCACTGTAGAGCTGGACTATTTCAACTGAAACTGGTAACAGACGTCCCTGTGCGAGGAGGTGTCCGTCTGCTGCTTCAGTGTGACACGCCGTCGCCTTTTCCCTCAGGAGACTGCTGTTTCTGGCATGTTCGTTGAGAAGTGTCACTCTCAGAAAGTAACAGAGCGTTGTTGTCTTGTCTTGATCTGTTCAGGTCTTGCCCGGAGTGCCGTGTGATATCTGAGTTTGTCATTCCCAGTGCGTACTGGGTAGAAAACCAGGAGAAGAAAAACGAGCTGATGGAAGCATTTAAGCAGGGGGTGGGGTAAGTTCAGGAACCACAAACACTGATTACGTTTTTTTAAGGTACGCTAAGACTTAGTCAATCAAAGCGCCTGTATTTGTAAACTTGATGTAACGACAACCCATTCCACAGAGAACTCTTATTCTCTGTTAACACTTTTAGTTAACTTTGTGACTGCCACGACAGGGTCTGCAGTTACAGATCAGAAATTATTCAAACTCACTGTGCTTTGGAACATCGAAGGTATTTCAGTTCACTCGATAAAATTGGCTTTGTGCGTTTTCTGTTGACCCCTTAGACATAATTGCCTGGAAGGTTGTCAGTTATGGAGGAAAACAAATAGGGAAGGAAAATGTAGTAGTCTCTTGAAATAGGGCTAACAACTCACGGGGCTTTTGTAGTGTCTCCTGGAAATGGAAAATACTGCCTGGCTGCATTCCTTTTACTGCCTAATACCGATTTGACTGGTGCTGGGAAAGGTCTGTGCACGGGCAGTTTTACAGCAGCTTTGCAAAGCTGAGCCTGCCTGGGGGGCGTAAGGGTCCCACAGGTCGCAGCCCAGCACGCCACCACGGCTTATCTCCTGCCCACTCCAAGGTAAACAGGCAGAGGTGCACTTCGCCCGTGTGAGTGATGATGGTGTTGCTGAAGGTTGTGCAGCTTTAGGCTGTGGTGTGCACCAACCTTTGAACGTGCCCTTTGGAGCGCAAGGGAAAACAGGCCTTGCTTCAGTCTGTGCGTAGCTGCTGCTGCCAGCTTTTCAGCTGCTGGGGAAGCTGCAAGTCTCTGAACTCCCATTAGAACACGGTAGCACAACTGTTGAAAGTCATGCTACTCCATTAAGCGTTTAATCCAGTATCTTGGCTTGTTTTATCTTATATTCAGGCAAAATGTTTGAATAAAACTAATAATTTTAAACTGAGGTTCTTCAGGTACAGTTTGTTTTCAGCACCCTAGTGCTGGTTTGGTTTTTCATTTTAATTCATAAGGACTTGGACTTGAGGGCAGGGAGTTGTGCTCAGAAGCCTCAGCTTAGTGCAGGTTTTAAGTAGCCATGTTCTCAGCAAGGTATTTTGTGTTACTGGGGTGGAGGTGGTGGGAGCTGGGTGTGGCTCTCTGTGGTACAGAAGAGAATACAAGAGGGGGTTTTGCTGAAGTGCTCAGCTGGGACTGGTACGCTGCATTGTAGAGAAAACTGTCTTTGGTACAGGAATGCTATGCGTAGGTCTCTGGGCGGTCAGTTTAGCTTGAGGATTTAGTATTACATGGAATCAAAAAAATGCTAATAAACCGCTAATAAAGTGGGGTCTAAACTAAGAGCAGGGAGGGGTCATGCCAGCACAAATCCGTTCTGATTTATATGCCAGCACAGGATGAAAGAAGTCGGACCTGGAAACCACAGACTACTTGTGCTCCAAACCAAGACAAGTTCATTCTGCTTTTAATGCACTGCCTGGTTTGGGGGTTCTGGTTGTGGGAGTTTCGTCTATTATTGTTGAGGTTTCTTGTCCATTTAGTTGCCATTTGATAGACTGTATCTATGTCTCAGGACTCATTTCACCACTATTTGTGTATTAAGTTCACAAGTTCAATTGCATTTTCTCTGTAGTTTCCTCTTCAGCTGTTTTTCACTGCAGAACGCGCCACCAATCTCCCCCGCACAGCAAAGCTGATGGAAACGTAAATTAACCCAGCATTGCCGTAGAGCTTCCAGGGGAGATGGTGCGAGGGGCTGGTTCATAAAAATGTAGCGGTAGAAAACACAGGAGAGGCACATTGCTAGAAAAATTATGATGAAATGCACCTGTGTGGGATCAATGACATTCCTTGAAGAGTCGTGTCTTAAGGTAGTTTTTTGGGGTTTTTTTTTGTGTTACCTTGCTGTCCTTTTGTGTATTTCTTTGTTCATTTTTGGTCTGTTTTGGCTGCTGTTGGTTAGGGAAGGGAAGCCCAAACCCTCAGTGTGTTAACAGGAGCAGCACCTCGCATTGCTGGCGAGGGAGGAGGCGAGTGAACTGCATCTGCTCCTGGCCTAGCTGAAGGCAATAACTCTCTCTTCTAATTAAATCAGGAAAAAGCCCTGCAAGTACTTTGAGCAAGGGAAGGGAACGTGTCCCTTTGGAGGGAAGTGTCTGTACCTTCATGCTTACCCAGATGGGACACGAGCCGAACCTGAGAAGCCGAGGAAACAGCTGAGCTCGGAGGGGACCGTGCGGGTAAGGGAACCCTCCTGGCATGCGGAACTAAAACTGCGTTCGGCATGGCAGCGGCCCACCACAGCATGTTCTCTACCACGCGGGGCCTGGGAGGAGGGAAGAAAGCACTTCTTGGGGCAAAGCTTTGTCATTAGGGAAAGGAGAAGGCACCTTTCATTTAATAGCAACAATTTTTTATTACTTTTTTTTTCAACCAGTCCTCCTGGCAAACCTTTCTTTTAAGGAATTCTGCAGTTAAAGCTTTCACCTGCAGTATTATAACCTCAGCTCCCTTGCCTGCATACAGCTGCTAGTAAGAGCGGCTAAAAAGGTTAAAACCTCAAAAATTCACCACCACCCTGAGTGGTCACGGCAGGCCGACTGCTTTAACATAGGTAACCAGCTCGTTAGTGCTATCAAGTTCGACCTCACTGTAACACTCAAGAGAGAGGGTGTTGCTTTAGCAGCAGCTGTTGCTGGGAGTGTTAGTAAATCCCAGCACAAACCTGCCTTTTGAATCTCAGCTTCTTTTTTAATGAAGAAATAAGACTGATGGGGGGGATGTGGTGATGGGACTGTGACCAGTACTGGTTCATGCTCAGCCAGAATTTCTTCTCTTCCAGTTCTTCAATTCTGTTCGCCTGTGGGACTTTATTGAAGACAGAGAAAGCAGGACTGTGACCAGCACAGACAACGAGGTCACAGAACTTGGAGAACTTTTCATGCACCTTTCTGGGGCGGATGAGGCACCTGCTACCTCTCAATAAGGAGAACTGAAGATGCTCCTTTCTCCACCCACCTGGCTATTTAGCTGTGCTTGTACAGTCCACAGCACAGTTAGAATGAATGTGCCTCGTGGTTCACTTGTGCAGTCCTGGCAAACATTTCAGTTTTCATATGGCAACAAAAATACTAAAATACACTTAAAAAGTTAGACTGATTGCATGGAAAAAAAAATCCCTTAATCCCAAGAGGGTTTTCTCACTCTTTGGCCTAACATACACTGTCTTGTGAGCCAAGTGGTGGTGTAAATACAGCTCCTCTCTTACCATTTAAAGCTTAAGCTGTTAAAAACTGTTGCTGAATCGATTTTGGGTGGGGTTTTTTTTTTGTTTGGTTGGTTTTTTTTAGTATCTATTCTAAATGTGTATCTACAAAAACCCACTGGGAATAAGGGTCAGTGTATCTTTTTCTTAAAAAGATGTAGGAACTAATGTGCTATACCTCAAAGCAGTAGCTAGAGTTCAGGCTGACGATTGCTGTCCTCTTACAGCAAGTGGTTCAGCCGCGGGGCCCGGGCCCAGCCTGGATCCCAACATTCAGTTCCTGCCCTTGGTTTAAAATCACTGACATGCATAGTGGCAGGAGCTGTCTTGCAGCACAGGCCTGGGCAGAGAAGCTCTGGCATCATAATGTACAGCTGCTCTGCCCTCACAGCGCGATTGGGGAAGCTGTGTGATGGAAAATAGTTCCTTGCAATAGTCATTGCAACAGTCCTAGTTATGTTTTTATTATTAGTTCAACTGTATTTAACTGGAAGGGACACCTTGAATCAGTTAAATGAAGTAGCCAAAATTAAATGAACTAACTAAATAATTTTCTGCTTTCCTTATGCTTGCAAGTATACAACATAAATAATTTCAGTTACAAAATCAGTTAGTTTTAACTGCTGCTTTTCTTAACTGAACTGTGTGGCTGACCGATACTGAGGCTTTTCTATCCCCAGGTACCCCCAGCGTAGCAAGGCCCCTCCAAAGCTGTAACACAGCCTTACCCCAGCCCCCTTTCCCTGCAGGTCCTGGCTGCAGCTGGCAACTGCCGTTACCAGAAGCATAGGCAGGGGCTCAAACGCTGCCCATATCGGTTACACTGAGGGTGGCCCCACTGTGCCGAGCACTGGCCATCCCGCCAGCTGGCTCCTGCGGCTGTTCTGGGGTGGTCTCAGTCTCTAGCACCTGTCGGCCCCTCTCAGATGAAGGCCAGGGGTGGCACGTCTCCTCTGAGGTAATGGAATTGTTACTGAATTTTACTGTTGTTAAAAACTTAATGTTTGTGTGGTGAAAGCAATTTGCAACTGGATTGGGAAATTAGATAGAGGAGGTTAATTCTGCTAAGTCATTAGCTTTGCAGTTAAACTGAGCATTCGGTCTGGGCGCAGCTGAAATGGCTACTGAGGCACAGAGCAGCAGCTCACATGAGGCTCGGTCAAGGCGCCTCAAGTACGTTCGGCACACAGTCGTAACACAAGGAGCAGGCCAACATACCAGCGCCTGTAGGATCAGGCTGCATGCTACCCCTGAGGCTGCTTGTCTGCTAAGGTCTCGAGCGTTCCAGAAAGGTTGACTGTCAGAGACAACAGAAATTGTCTCTGTTGTGATGCAAAGTTTATTTGGAGACACTTGTGCAAAAACCCCGACGTCAGCATGGCAAATAGGGTGCTGCTTTGATGGGTAAAAACTAGGATCTGGGTCACTGTTGTAAGGCAAACAGCAGGAACCTTAATTTGGGAGTCAGTGACTGCAGGATTATTCACTTCAACAGTTGGCTGGCATTTCTGGGTCAAAACTGCAGCGAAGAAACATTCTGGATGGAAATACAGCATTTCTAGATGGGTACAACAGGAGAGGGAGAACCCCTCCCACCTCTGCTGGCCCATAGTTCCCTCAGGCAGAACGCAAATTTCACTCCCTGTTCTGACCTAGGAAATGTAACATCTCCACAATTATTTCCCCTGTAGAGCTGATTTTTAACAGTGCTTCCTGCAACGTCAGGCCTCAGCTGGTTGGCATGTGTAACCACTGACGTGTCAGCTGCTTTTCAGATCTGGCACGCAGAAGGTACCAGCCAAGATCCTACTCAAGCAAGTCAGTGCTGTAATTCCTCTTCACTCACGACAAAGGTGAAGGAAAAAAACCAAGTATCTCTCAGCCAGGTGTCGTGCTCTGGCTTAGTGTTCACGAGCACTTGCCCAGGTGTGCTTTCTACCCCAAAATACTTAGAGCCCTTCGCCTCCCTGCTGAAGCTTGTTTCCTAGCTGGTCTTGCACATACCTTATTTTTTCCAGAGAAATGTTTTCAGTAATAAAATATACCAAAAAAAGTCAACAGTGAGAATGTTCTTTGCCTTAAACAAGACATTCCTAACTTACTTTGCCCCAAGAAGACATAAACCAGGTAACAGTAGTCTGAAATTAAAAAGTTAAATTAAAACTGAAGCTCTGAAAAGCAAATTAAGAGCAGTACAACTTAGAAACAGAGACCTTTTAAATTCTTCACATAGCAGCATTCATCTAATTTGGCATCAAGCACTGGTTGAAATAAGCCTATTTATCAAAAATACTTTAGTTTTTCAAGAGACACATAATCAGTTTTAAAAAATGAGGAGTTAATAGTTTCTTTTTCTAAATTAGAGCTAAAGTGAAAGCAGCTTACCATTTAGCCTTTGGTTTTTTAGTTCTTAGAACTTACTATAATGAAGGTAAAGTGAGAGATAAACGACATTTAGAGAGGGCTGCACTTAAAATACCAAGAATATTATTAAAAATCATGCAGAACTATTCCAAACAGTTTCCTTCAACCCTCAATTTACTTTTTAGCAAGCCAATTTTATGGTCATCTCAATTATCACCCAAGGATGATTATTCCACCCTTCTTACAACGTTGTACGACATTCTGAGGACAAACAGTTGAGATGATACTATTTTTGAGGTCTGTGCCTGCCTTACGTGCTTCAAGTTCCTCCCTCCCCCATCACAAAACCTTTGGGGGTTTTCACTTGCTGCAAACAAGCAGCTGGAACAACCACTTGGCCACGACAGGCAGTTCAGAGACACACATGAGCCGTCAGACTTCACAGCAACAGTTTTTCACCTGACAGATGTTAGTCAGCTGTTTAGATCGAGAGCACAGTGGTGATGGACACCTCATCTCCGCACTCGCTGGGCCTCAGCCAGGAGCCCCACCCTTACCTGTATGCACAAGGAAAGACACTAAATCCCAAGCTCCCATTCCAAGGACGGAAACTTGGCCACCACTCT